ATATATATATATAAGCTAAAAGGGGGGTTAACGCAATTTTGCTACTTTTTTAGTAATTTGGTAAATAGTGATATCGTATTATATTTCAAATTTGAATTTTTATCTGTCACTTATCATTTCCGATTACATTTGAAATATTAATATAATGAAATATTGTTCTTCATCTTATTTTAATTATTTTCTTTCGTCATGAGATTTGTGCAGTAAGAGTAAATTAATACTATTAGCAATGCCTGTGATTTCCCGTGAAAAAAGGTTGACTGATAAACGCTAAATATATCGTGGTTACAAAGTCCTCCGAATTCCCATAACAAACCAATACCTCTGGTGGTACTGGATCGAATATTGATCATGCTCTAGCTTAGGTTAAAAATACAATCTGAGAATGGATGGATGGTGTGGGAATGTGTCATCCCTATAAGACAGGTTTTAACGTATAAACGTAGCAGAAGTCAAATTCTTGGCCATAGATGGCGCCACTGAAAAACAAGAAGAGGCATACTCTTCTATCTTAAAATAGGCTTATCAGTAATGACATGTGGCATAAGACAACAACAACAAGCCATGTCGGATAGTGGTATAATTTTCGAAACTGGTAGATCAATTAGTAACCACCTGCCTCCTGAAGCATACCAGCCTGTACACTATTGAGTACTTACGATTAAGTTAGTAATTAAACAGTGGGTAACTAAATACAAACAATGAATAGAATAATAAAAAATATAAGATTTTTAACTTTTACTAATACAGTTGTATTGCAATTCTATAAAGTTTTGTTACTATTTTAAGTAGTAATGTGCAGAGAAATATTTCTTCAAACAAGATTGCTAAATTTAAATAATATATTTTGAGTAGCACAGAGTTCAAAAATGCTTTTTACCTTTATTCATATCAAGTTAAATCAATTGTTTTAACTTGATTTTAAAACTGTTCTTGGACTAAGAGTTTTTTAAATACTATTTTGAATAGTAAACATTATTACAATATTAATTGAAATTTTTAAAACATTCTTAATAATTTAAAATTCTAATGCTTCATATTTTAATTACCTTGACTATAAATAAGATATTAAAAAAGTGTTTACACAATTTAATCACTTGGGAAATTGATTGAAGATAAAATGATAAAAAAGAAAATTTTTTAAAAATATTTTAACTTCTTACCTCAATAATGAATCTCATCTTGAAAAACATTTATAACATTCTTAACGTTCAATATGCGTTGCAATGATATTTGTTTTTGGTTGTTCTAATTTTGAATTATGCTCGTATTTGTAAAAAAAGTAATTTTCTTTTACAAAATAAAGTTCAAATTAATAAAAGTTTATCTTCTGTATTAAGATTAATCTTAGCTTATCATTTATGTAAATAATATAATATTCGGAACATAATTTGGAAAAATACAATAATTTTAAAATAAAAATTTTCTAAAAAAACCAGTTTTGAAAATATTTTGAATTGTAATACACACGGATGCATTATTGATTACTGCATTACAACTGTTCTAAAGTAATACTATGGGGAGAAACTGCATTTAAAGTCGTCTAAAGCATTCAAAATGCACCTCTTATGTTGAAAGCAATTTTTTCACAAATTTTTCTTGAAACACAGATCGGTAATATTTGTCGTTTTACTATGGTAATGATAGATCTTTCAGAATGCTAATACTCTAGAGAAGTAAGAAAAAAATTTAAGATTCTCGCTAAAGCTTTTAAGTTTAAAAAAAATAACAGGTTTAGCTTAGAATATCTTAAATAAAAGCAATTTCAAAGTCAACTTCTACGGATATTTCAGTCTCAATTTTTTGGTATTGACTGAGGGTTTTGAAATGTTTTGTTAATAGAAATAATTTTATTAGGAAATGTTCTGATTAATATTTTTCCAGCCTGATTTGCTTACTAGTTTTATTTTCGCGCTTTCAAACGGAGTTTTAACTCCAAAAAGAAAATGTAGGCTTAATAACTGGAAGGAAAGGAAACTGAAATATTTTTTTTATTGCAAAACAATTTCTAAAACTCACTTGATATAACATTTTTCTTTCTATCATTCAAAGGTAACATTCAACAGGAAAACGTATAAAATATTTTCCATACAATGTTAATATACATACAATAATATTTTACATACAATTTTCGTCATTATGGTAAAATTCATGTAGTTCTCACAATGTGTGAAAATGTTGTGTGCTTATATTTAAGATAGTTACAGAATATATACTCATATCTTCTAAACAATGGAGCTTGACTTAAATTTTTTTCCCATTGTATTTCTGTACTAGATTGTACTCTCTCGGTTCTAAAAATAGACTCCACACCTAGAAAAGAAGTATGGTTAAAATACCAGAATATGGTAAAATTAACCGTATTTCAGGCTCTATGAAAACAGCAAAAAGCTAGATAGTTTCTTTAAAAAAATGATTTTACACTGAGAAAAAATTATCGTCAAAATTTCCTGAAAATGACAAAATTTAATGAGTTTATGAATTTTTGGGAACACCAAAAAGCACTGTAATTTTTACAGAAGCGCTTTGGTAATGAATTCTTTAAAATCAACAGTAAAATACAGTTTTATAATCTAGGATAAAATTCAGTAATTCTCTCATGATATCTTAAAGCATGGATAAAAATTATTTATTCGGTAAATTTAACTTTTCAGTTTTGTATTTTTTGCTAAATGTGTGTTAATAAGAGTTACATTATAGGATACCAGAATTTCCATTAAGTCATTACTCATTACCATATGAAGAGAGAAATTGCCAAATGAATGTTTTAAATACCTTATATATTTTGGTTTCATTACCAGATTGATTGTTTATTTTTTTTTATGAGAAATGTCAGTAGCATACAGTACGGTAATTTTACCAGAATTTGTTTCTCGGTGCGATTTTGAATTTCCATCAGAGTGAAAGCTTCGTCTACTAATTTGATACCTAGCATCCTCAATGTCAATGTTACAGATGTTGAGTGGCTGACTAATTTTTTTTCTTAACAAATAAGACCGACTGGTAAGTAATCGGGCAATTCATATTGTTTTAAATTTTTCTAAGTCATAACCAGGAGATCTTTAAACCAAGAAACCGATAACTTAAGGACAGCGCTTGTCAGACAAGATGTAAATTCCATCGAACACCAGTGTTAAAGAGCCATTTTTAAGTTAAACTTTAAATTTTGTATAACTACGCAAAAAATTATAAGAAATGTTGCAAAACGTTTAAGAAATCTTTTAGAAAAACACCAAATAATGGAATTAAGATAAACATGGAATTAAGTTTTGCTTGAAACCAGATAAATACTTAGTATCTAAATGGAAAACTTAAGAATTAATCTATAAAATCAAAAGTAGCATGTTCTTCTACTATGTGAATCGGGTGTTTATTGTCAGCTATAAAATAAAACACACAGTCAATGTTACATAATACTGCACATGCTATTGAACTTTGCTCTTTTCAAAACATCTTTTCTTTATCTAAAATAAACATTTAAATACTAAAGTAGTTTTTACCGCAATTTTTAAACGATATTTAATCATAGTTTAATTTAATTAGTTAATTAAAACTAAGTCATTAAAAACTTATAGAGCTTCACAGCGAATAAAAAGTTCCCTTCTCCAAAACAATTAAATACAGTTTAAAATAAAAATGTAATTCAAATAAACTTAAATACACATTTTTAGTTGGGTTACTTTTTAAAGGAGAAAATAATGAGTTCGTTCTATTTTTCATTCAAGAAATAAAAGAAACATACATATACAAATAGCTATTTTCAAGTGCCTAATGACTATCTTAATTTTATCATGGACATGATTAAATTCAATTAAGACACGAGTTGTTGAAAATATTCGTCTATTTCATTAAAGTTAAGAGCTAAATAAGGCAGGAAAATATTTAACTGAAGGCAATTTAATATAAAGTTGATATAGCGAAGGCAGGTATTTGTAAATAATTTTCAAAGTTTCGCGAGGTAGAAATAAAATTAAGCTAATGAAGCATAGAAAATATCGCGAAGCTATGTAGCAGAAAAATTTCGATTGGAGAACACAAAATTCCTTTTCAACACCAGAAGGTCAGAGTTTATTGTGGAGAGAACACAAATAAATTGGACGTCGACAAAGAGAACTTGAATGGAGGAATGTTAGAAGGAATGTGCATTGAGATGTAAATTTCATGATATATTGGGATAAAAATAGTGAACCCGTCTCAAGAATCTTAAAATTTACACTATCTTAAAGTTTTTCACAGAGAATGACGTTAAATCCGAATCGAAATTTAAATAATTGAATATATTTACGCGACAACATAATATTTATTTCTTAACAACGTTAAAGAAAATTGCAGCCAGGTTTACAAATGTATCGAAAATGCCAAATTCATTGTGTAATATGTTAAATTTTATTGTACTAGTTAATCATAAATGCATGATTGGTCTTAAAAAGACTTTGAAATTATTATACGCTTAATATACTGTGAAACTAATACGAATATTATAATATGTATAATTGAAATTATTTTTAAAAAAAAGAAGT